TTCATCCCTGGGCGTCTCAATTTGGGAGCAGACATCCTGTCGATGCAGGGGCCGAGGCCCGGGGAATGGATGCTTCACCCCGTGAAATCATCTCAAAAGTGAAATTGTTTGTAATGTTTACTTTCTTTTCTCTCTCTTTTATCATAACTGCTTCTTGTTAGTTCCAAGTCGTAATGCCACCTTTACCCTGACAAATGTGGTGCCCCAAAGCCCACCGCTGAATCAGAACGCTTGGAACAAACATGAGTCTAAACTGACCAGCTTGTTTAATGGCAACTGTCATCAGGCTTATGTGCTGGCTGGTGCCATTCCTCCTTCTAACAACTGGATAATCAAGAACAATGTCAAAAGGGTCAACATCCCAGAGTACATCTGGAATGCTTACTGCTGCGTCGATCAAAACGGCCGCCCTATTCTAAGCGGTGCTGCAACTGCCCTAAACACAGAGCTGAATGTAGTAGTTGAACGCTCCTTAGATGAGATGGTCGACTTCCTTCAGCAATTCTCTGATGCACCGGTGAATGAATTGTTCAGCGGCCAATGCAAAGCTTAGGCAAGCACATTCACTTGAATTGGAAACACTTTATAATAACTTTCATTAATAAATCATTAACAAACATTACATAATGCTTAACAGATCATTAGCTAATATATATTCACATAGCTAGAAATATGAAATAATGTAATCCTAGTCTTCCTGTTATACCATGGCTTCCTAGTCTACCAGAAAAGTAAGTGGCACCCCTTCTCCCCGTTTAGTTTTCATTTTGAATAGTCTTTTGTTTTCTTGGTTGTTTCTCACTGCAAACATGGAAGAACGAGCTATGTTCATCACCGTGGCTAATGCGAGCCAAGACCCGCTCACCTACGTGAGGGCATTCGTGCCACTCGCCCTCGCCAGCTCCCTTGATGGAGAGACCCTTGGGATGCTGTTCCCGCTCGGGATCACCTACCATCAGCCAACGGAACTCCCAGACACCACCAACCTCGATTGGATGGAGGCAGTTATCCGGTGTCTGGAGAGTCTCCGATCCCGATCTGGAACCCTGCCGCCGGCCATTAATCAGTCAAGTCCGTCGGCCGTTCATCAGTCAAGCCCGCCGCCTCGGCATTTCCAAGCCCGCCGGTCGCACCGATGTCCTCTAACCAAAGGAGGAGGATGAGGAGAAAAATACTGTTCTCCGCCTTCATCCTAGTCCCAGAGCCCGCTCCAGCGTCGGCTCCAGTTCCCGAATTTGGCCCAGAGAGGGCTCCCGTTCCCGAGTTTAGCCCATGGAGGGCTCCCGTTCCCGAATTTAGCCCAGAGAGGGCTCCCATCCCCGAGTTTAGGCCAGTGAGGGCTCATGTCCCAGAGTTTAGCCCAGAGAGGGCCCCAGTCCCTGAGTTTAGCCCAGAGAGGGCTCCAGTCCCCGAGTTTAGCCCAGAGAGGGCTCCAGTCCCCGAGTTTAGCCCAGAGAGGGCTCCAGTCCCCGATTTTAGCCCAGAGAGTATTCCAGTCCCCGAGTCTAGCCCAAGGAGGGCTCCAGTTCCCACGTCCAGCCCAGGGAGGGCTCCAGTCCCCAAGTCAAGGCCAGGGAGGGCCACAGTTCCCGAGTTAGGCCTACAGAGGGCCGCTAAAGACTATATTCTCCCCAAGGATTTTTTTTGGGGGGGGGGTGATAGTAGGGGTCCATCCGTGGAGGCCGGGCCGATGCCAGGCTCCCCGAGCTCCCTGTTCCGCCAGGGCCTCCTGAACTGCCTGCTCCACCATGGCTTCCTAGTCTTCCTGCTCTGCCATGGCTCCCAGAGCTCCCTGCTCCACCATGGTCCCTGAGCTCCCTATGCCGACATGGCACCCTGGACTGCCTGATCCGCCCTGGAGGTATTCCCCATGTCCCAGTCCTGCACCAGCCTCCAGGGCACCCACCCCCCTCCCTGTGCCTTCTGGGAGGGAGGAGTAATGTCAGACTCTGTTCTGTGTTTTGTGTGTGTTTTGCTTCCCATTTGTTTCTATGCCCATATTTGGTCCTTCCCATTCCTGTCCTTATCATTTGTTCCAGGTGTTCCCCGTTTAGTTCCATTGATCCCAGGTGTGTCTCGTCATCCCCTCGTCATGTCATGTGTGTGTATATAAAGTGTTCCCTGTTATTAGTTCGGCTTCCGGTATTGTTTATGTCAGCCTCCTCTGCTACGTGTGTTTTCCTGGTTCCCTTGATGTTAATAAAGTCTCCTTGTTGATGTACTCCACGTCTTCTCATTCCTCGCTCTGCACTCCCTCACAGGAGTGAACATGACCCTAATGTACTTATTAAACATTCATTTAATTAATTAACTTATTAAACCTAATGATTAACATATGATTATTAAGTTAAATTGCTTACAAATGTCATTAAACTTTCAATTCATATGATCATGCACTTTTTAAAAATCAAATAATTTAACAGAAATTATACAACAATTACAAGTTTATTTGTTAATGTACTTTTGAATGCTAACAAATTTCAATAAACTCATAATCATAATCACAGTCTGTAAAGGTCATATATTTGGTCTTCGTTTGTTGTGTAGTCTTCTACTGTTTTCACATCTTAACAAATAATTTATTAATTATGTTAACTCTTTTTGCAGTACTCAATCTAAAGTGGAAACTATTAATCTTTTGTAAATGTTTATAAACCTTTACTAATCATTAGTACATTTATAAGCAGTCATCTCGATGGCAAAACGCATTCCAGATGTCCTGAATTCAGCCTATTTACACATCTTAACAAATTGTTTATTACTCATTTGTTCATGTTTTTGCAGTACTCAATCTAAAGTGGAAACTATTCATCTTTTGTAAATGTTTATAAAAGTTTATGAATAATTAGTCACTTAAAAGCAGTCAATGGCAAAAAGTGTCCCAAATGTCCTGAATTCACCCCATTTACACATCTTAAATCATTAATTAATTATTTGTTCATGTTTTTGCAGTACCCAATCTAAAGTGAAAACTATTCATCATCTGTAACTGTTTATAAACGATTACTAATCATTCAGTACCTTTATGGGCATTGGACTTTTACCTGCTGTAACAACTTTCGTTGATTTTTAGTTAAGTTTATGTAAATGCTTCTTAAAGACATAACACACATTGTAAGTTGGGTGCAAAACATGTTTTTATTGTCTCAGCACTTATATTAGTAACTATATCATTAAACATGGTATTGTTTGAATCATACATCAGTAGGAGAAAACGAATAATTTTTTTCAAGAAAATACTTGTTCATTTATCAAAACAATGTAATATAAACAGATTGACCTGTGTTCCCTTATAGTAATCAAACTGACCCATCTACACTTTTGACCCCTTAACCAACCCTTAAACCTACCCATACCACACAACCCTAACCTTACCCATATCACACCACAATAGCAGCAAAAGTGTTGTACATTAACAAAAGCTTTTAATTATTGTATAACATCTGTTAAAATCATTTGTAGATTTTCAAGATGTGCATGATCATATACATTAAAAGTTGAATGATATTTGTAAGCATTGTAATTTACATTAATTATCTGTTGATCATTAGGTAATGTTTAATAAGTTTAGTAAACATTAACAAGCACATTATCTCATGTTTCTAGCTATGTGAATATATATTAACCAATGATCCATGTGTTCATTAATGAAAGTTATTATAAAGTGTTACCCTTGAATTTATTAAATCTGTTGAGCATTAGCAACAGGGCTTAATTCTGTTTTTTCAAAGCACATCAACATTATGCACCATCCAGAGTCTTCTAAAATAATATATTATGATTTACTCTCTTGGATAAGAAAGGGAGATACACCAATATAAAATAGAATGCCATAAAGTTAAATTGACTTTTTGAAGTGCACTTCATAAAACAAGTAGTTTTTAGTATTTATGTATAGTATATGCTGTGTTTTAAACATGCATGTTCTGGTTGTACTTAACCTTAGTCCACTTAGCTTATACCCACCAATAACAAGTGCTGTATGTCTTATTCTGAATATTTAAAATTTAAGTCACATTCTATGCTTTACATTCATAAGAATCAATTGCTAATCTATGTACTTAAGCAAAATGAGAAAAAATAATAATTTCAAATGACATAAGCATATATAATCTTTTATACTTAATCTGACCCAATATCTACATTAAAACATATTAAAAGTTATCTGAGATGTTCTCATGCATACTGGACCATAGGATGGTCACTCCACTCAGGGAGATAAGAGATTTTCTCTTGTGTGCTGGGCTGGATGGGCCAACCCCATGCTTTGAAGAAGGGGCAAAGATTCAGGTTGACCACTTTGGAGAAGGTCTCAGCATATAGATTCATCTTGCCTGCATTGTCTTTTGGCACTCCATTCATATCATGGTAGGCAGTAAATACTTTCTTGAAAGCATCCCAGCCAAATTTTTCCTGAAGCTGAAAAAAATTAGATGTGATGATGAAAGATGAGAGAAAAAATAGGTATATATACTTTTATATTTGATTTTTTTTTAAAATTATTACTCCCAAGGCTCACAAATAATGCATTATTGCATCAAACTCTCTTAAAAAATGTATATACTGGCAATAATGCTATAACAAAATATGTACATTATCAAAAACAATATTTGAACACTTGAGGAACATGTTTTTAATTGATTCAATTATCTATTAAATTATATGCAGTCTGTTCGCACCTGCATGTAAGTCTCAAGTGCCGTCCACATATTCCAGCTTTTCAAATCCTTACCGCCACTGCAATACATCTTGGTACGAGCCTGACGGTTTTCTAGAGTCATGGCTGGATGAGCATTAGACCTATTCAAACTCAGCACTTCCTCATGTACGTACACTGACCACAGGTTGCAAGTGCACTCAGTGGTGTGTGGAGGGAACTCCCAAACTCTACACTGCTGGTTATGACCCAGCTCGTGAATGGCTCCCCATATACCACTTTTATAGGCTTTCTGTACATTTACTAGTGCTGGGGCAGAGGTAGATTGTATCATGATGGGATATCCAGCATGCATGAAACCTGCAAGGGAAAAAGGGAGAACGTCTTAACAAATTGTTTATTACTCATTTGTTCATGTTTTTGCAGTACTCAATCTAAAGTGGAAACTATTCATCTTTTGTAAATGTTTATAAAAGTTTATGAATAATTAGTCACTTAAAAGCAGTCAATGGCAAAAAGTGTCCCAAATGTCCTGAATTCACCCCATTTACACATCTTAAATCATTAATTAATTATTTGTTCATGTTTTTGCAGTACCCAATCTAAAGTGAAAACTATTCATCATCTGTAACTGTTTATAAACGATTACTAATCATTCAGTACCTTTATGGGCATTGGACTTTTACCTGCTGTAACAACTTTCGTTGATTTTTAGTTAAGTTTATGTAAATGCTTCTTAAAGACATAACACACATTGTAAGTTGGGTGCAAAACATGTTTTTATTGTCTCAGCACTTATATTAGTAACTATATCATTAAACATGGTATTGTTTGAATCATACATCAGTAGGAGAAAACGAATAATTTTTTTCAAGAAAATACTTGTTCATTTATCAAAACAATGTAATATAAACAGATTGACCTGTGTTCCCTTATAGTAATCAAACTGACCCATCTACACTTTTGACCCCTTAACCAACCCTTAAACCTACCCATACCACACAACCCTAACCTTACCCATATCACACCACAATAGCAGCAAAAGTGTTGTACATTAACAAAAGCTTTTAATTATTGTATAACATCTGTTAAAATCATTTGTAGATTTTCAAGATGTGCATGATCATATACATTAAAAGTTGAATGATATTTGTAAGCATTGTAATTTACATTAATTATCTGTTGATCATTAGGTAATGTTTAATAAGTTTAGTAAACATTAACAAGCACATTATCTCATGTTTCTAGCTATGTGAATATATATTAACCAATGATCCATGTGTTCATTAATGAAAGTTATTATAAAGTGTTACCCTTGAATTTATTAAATCTGTTGAGCATTAGCAACAGGGCTTAATTCTGTTTTTTCAAAGCACATCAACATTATGCACCATCCAGAGTCTTCTAAAATAATATATTATGATTTACTCTCTTGGATAAGAAAGGGAGATACACCAATATAAAATAGAATGCCATAAAGTTAAATTGACTTTTTGAAGTGCACTTCATAAAACAAGTAGTTTTTAGTATTTATGTATAGTATATGCTGTGTTTTAAACATGCATGTTCTGGTTGTACTTAACCTTAGTCCACTTAGCTTATACCCACCAATAACAAGTGCTGTATGTCTTATTCTGAATATTTAAAATTTAAGTCACATTCTATGCTTTACATTCATAAGAATCAATTGCTAATCTATGTACTTAAGCAAAATGAGAAAAAATAATAATTTCAAATGACATAAGCATATATAATCTTTTATACTTAATCTGACCCAATATCTACATTAAAACATATTAAAAGTTATCTGAGATGTTCTCATGCATACTGGACCATAGGATGGTCACTCCACTCAGGGAGATAAGAGATTTTCTCTTGTGTGCTGGGCTGGATGGGCCAACCCCATGCTTTGAAGAAGGGGCAAAGATTCAGGTTGACCACTTTGGAGAAGGTCTCAGCATATAGATTCATCTTGCCTGCATTGTCTTTTGGCACTCCATTCATATCATGGTAGGCAGTAAATACTTTCTTGAAAGCATCCCAGCCAAATTTTTCCTGAAGCTGAAAAAAATTAGATGTGATGATGAAAGATGAGAGAAAAAATAGGTATATATACTTTTATATTTGATTTTTTTTTTAAATTATTACTCCCAAGGCTCACAAATAATGCATTATTGCATCAAACTCTCTTAAAAAATGTATATACTGGCAATAATGCTATAACAAAATATGTACATTATCAAAAACAATATTTGAACACTTGAGGAACATGTTTTTAATTGATTCAATTATCTATTAAATTATATGCAGTCTGTTCGCACCTGCATGTAAGTCTCAAGTGCCGTCCACATATTCCAGCTTTTCAAATCCTTACCGCCACTGCAATACATCTTGGTACGAGCCTGACGGTTTTCTAGAGTCATGGCTGGATGAGCATTAGACCTATTCAAACTCAGCACTTCCTCATGTACGTACACTGACCACAGGTTGCAAGTGCACTCAGTGGTGTGTGGAGGGAACTCCCAAACTCTACACTGCTGGTTATGACCCAGCTCGTGAATGGCTCCCCATATACCACTTTTATAGGCTTTCTGTACATTTACTAGTGCTGGGGCAGAGGTAGATTGTATCATGATGGGATATCCAGCATGCATGAAACCTGCAAGGGAAAAAGGGAGAACGGTGTTATCACCAGGACAGTGTGAGTGTAATTAATATTAATAGCATGATTCTGTTGTAATAGTGATGGTTCTTTATCCTAACAAAGATACTGTGAGTATTTAATAGTACCACCAACCGTGAGAGATCTGAACATCTGCAACAAACCGCTCCTTACGGGGGAACTTGTCAGGCCTTGCTGCCAGGTCAGCAATGCTTCTCATTATGGTATCCCAAAGTTTAGCCACCTCATCAGGACGGTCCAGATTCCTTATAAATTCTGCTTCTAAAGTTATGATGATGTTCTCAAATTCAAGCTCCGCCCAGGGGGCAGGTGCCTGACGGATCCTGTCCACCCAGTCAGCTACACTGGTCTCTCCTGAGGCACAAAACAAGTTAGCATTGAAAAGTTTTACCATACAATGTTAAATGTTCTGAATAGAAACCTCACTGTGATGTTCATTCAGAATTCTTACCAGACTTGAAGTATGGAGCCTGTACTGAGTCCTGCACGACAATTTCCACTCTATCCACTTTGCTTTGAGGAGGTGCTATTAGGTAGATGAGCCCTCCCCATAGATTGCAGACTTGGACCATCTCTGTGTCCAAAGGGAATCGCTCATGGACCACAGGAGCCCGTTTCAGAACGTTTAATCCACCAATGTTATCTGTTTGGCAACCAAGCTGCACCTGCATAGAGTGTCATCCCCTCATGTTAATAACGTGCTCTCCAAGCCTATGAACAACAAGGCTGTATCTATCAGGGCAATTATATTTCATACAGCAACTATTCCTTGATTGGATACATGTTTAGACTTTATTCATCACCTGCCAATTTTTCCCAACAATCTCTGGAGGTACTGCTATGTACGTCTTCATACCAGGAGAAAGATATAAGCCTGTGCTTATCCATTCTTCACAAGCTGAAACAAATAATTGCATTCTTATTTTATAGTGTTCAAGTTTTTTGGATTTTGAAACTTAAACAAGAAATAGCATTTGGCGGGAAAACTTTCATACCTGCAGTGTTGGCACTGATCCGAACTCTTGCATTAGACACAGTTGGCAAGTTAGGTCTGACCTTAATGATGTATGGAAAAAGGGCATCAGGATCGGGTGACACTTTGTATACCTCAGTCCCAACGAGGAGCATCAGGTGGTCTTTGGCACTTTGAACAGGGCAGTTACTACACACTTGAGGAACACCTACCTCCTTCACTATGTCACTAAGAAGTGCTACCATTGAAGTATAGGCGGCACTGTCATGAGATCGCATGCGAAGGTAACTGGCACATTCGTTGCCCAGCTGTTTCAAGCAGCTCTGTTCATGATTAGTCAGTTCTTGCCCCAGGCTTACATGTTCAGCAAACCGATGCAGCATGCTACGAAAGTGGTACCCCTCTTTACACCTATGCTCTATTTCTGGGGCTTTATATAACCCTCCACCAAAGGTGCTGCCTAAGAGACACAGTCCCATCTTATTAAGAATGCGATTTCCTGGATAATCGGTCATCACATTGCAGCCACAGTGGGTTTGAGCCCAATACCAGGCATGACCCCCAATCATAAGACCTCCACCTTCAGAAACAAATTCTTGGATCTCTGCACACTGGGCATCACTGTATGAAGTGCAAACGTAGACGCTTAGATCTTCTTTAAAACCTGTCATCTGGCAATCTAAACCAGATTTGCTCAGTACTGTGTGGGCTGCCTTTAGACTGGGTAGGATCCCAATAACACCCTTGCGATCCTCATCAAGCCACTTGATTGCGTTTATCAGGAAAGTTGACAGAGAGTCCCGGCCCATGTAGCCTTCATGTGGTAGCAGAATTACTCGACCTTGCCCATAATAGGCACCAGCAATAAATGCTTTTCCAGCTGGAGTGGCTGCAATGGGAAATGCTAATGGTCCGTGCACCATCACCTCAGACGCTATAGCCCCACCTTGGACATCAAACTCAGACACACCTTCTAGGAGGAACTCTAGGTCATCTTTAAAGTCCTTGCCTATACTGAAAAGTAACAATTGAAAACAGTTGGTGAAATGTATGCTTCTTAAAGAATGGGTAAATATTAAGAAATCTCTGCTGAACTTACGATGCAGCAAGCCAATTAGAAGGGATGTTTCTTGGAACAGGAAAGATGCCAACTTCTCCTTGGTGTTCCGAGAAGTAAATACCTGCAACACTACACACCTTGTTTCCTGGGAAGTTCCTTATAGTGTTTTCTTGCGGGTGGGCTTCAGCCCATATCCAGGCCTGGCCGGCAATGATCAAGCCACCCCCAGCTTTGATGAAAGCAATCAGATCCTTTGCACAGCTCTCGACAGTGTAAGCATCTGTGATATATATAGCTAATCCATTCCGAAAGTCTCCTAGCTCTGTCTTGATAGGGCAATAGTTCAAGTTTCCAGCTACTGAATGTAAACTCTTCTGAATCCCTACAATGCCAGCATCACCGGTACATGGCATGAGCCACATCAGGGCATTCTCTATCAGGCCAGGGAAGTGTGTTAGGTATTCCTCATGTCCCAACACCACCACACGTCCGTGACCGTAATGAGATGCAGCCATCAGCACCTGACCTCTTGGATTCATGGCAAGTGGAAAGGCATTTTCACCTATTAGTACAAGATCACTGGGCACTGCTTTCCCTTGGAAATCAAGCTCCTCCAGCCCATACATGATAGTGTAGTAGTCCTGTTCACGTGCCATGGTGGATTAGCTCTGTTTAGTAAGTCAGTTCAAAGCAATCACTCAACGTACAGTCAGTTTTACAGGGTATGAGCACTGGGTTTGTTCAACCAGAGCCTGTGAAGTAAAATGATACTGATTGGTTTTCAGTCCTACACAAAAACAGAAAATCAGAGAAAAAAAATCAAGTACATTTAGAAACATACAGAGTTGTAATTTTGTAACTGTAAATTCGTTTTTCATGAATTACACTGCTTAACATAGTATACAAAAATCCGAAATGATTCAAATCACAATTTCAACTTTCTATCCTTTCCCAATTATGACTACATATGTAAAAATTGCGATTCATGTCTCACAAATGAAACTTGCTATCTCATAATTTCTACTTTATTCTAAAAAGAGCATTCACTGTACACACTCACCTTCATTTGGAGATACAAATATGTTCTTTCTCGCTTAGCTACAGTATGTGTAACTACTGTGAGAATGGCTCACCTATAAGGAGCACACCCAACGAGCACGCCCATAAATACACCATTCTCATTTTGTTTGTTCATCCAGAAACCACCATCGACCACTCCCTCTACAGTATTTGACATGTTTAACGCTATTTAATTCTCTTTGTAGTATAGACTGTTTGAGGTACATGCTTGACTTCGTGTGAATATCCAGTAATAGTTATCCATAAAAAAGCTAATACATTTTCACATTTGTTAAAAAATTGATTATTAACAGTCATGCACAGCTACTTGAAACTCTGAAATAAAATATATTTTTAAATTAACATTTTTATTTGATTTTCAATTATTTCTCTCATTACTGCAACACCATCTGCAATTTGCAACCTAATATTTTTATTGTTTTATTGAAAACAACATATTTTCAAAATGTTGCGGCAAACTTGAATGAACATAATGTATAGATTATGTGCATACATTTAAAAGCAAACTACTATTTTTCCAAATAACACATGTAGCTGTAATAATACATAGGTTACGGAAATGAGGTCGATGATTTCGGTAATGATAATAAGTATACTAAGAATGAGGTATAGTTATAAAGAATATAGCATTTAATTTAGAAAATAAATTAGATAATTTACAATCATGGATTCAATTTCAATCAGTTTTATTTCGCAGTGCTTCAAAAATACATAACATGCACAGGCTAAAAACACCAGGGGCTGTATTCACAAAACATCTTAAGACTAAAAGACATTATTGTCTGTTGGTATGTGGACACTAATATTGTTATCGTTATAGTTATCATTCTTAGTGTGAACAGGTCTTTAGGGCCCAATGTCCTTACTAATAGAGAAATATTATAACAACTGACTTGTAAGGGCATTTTACGTGTCCTCGGTAGTTAAAAATATTATAAATATTTTTATATTTAAATCTAATGATTTACACAGGTTTCTGTGAGGGTTAGGTGTCAGGTTAGGACATGGAAAATATCATAAACCTGACATATAAAACAGTGGAAGCCTATCAGATTTCTCACTAATATAGTGAAACAATATTACTCAGTGTACATAATCAGACATTAATGAAGTACATTTCCATAGAAAATTGTTAATCTAATATTTTTCTAAATGTAGTAAACCTGTTTCAGTAATGATAATCAATTTGTCACGTACATAGTCTGACAAGAGAATTTTTAACTTTTAACTGGAAATATAAAGAGATCTGCCTACCTCGTATCTATTTTGAAGGTTCTGCCACATGTGTTGCATAATTCAAAATCAAGATTTACTTAAAAAACAAATTGTGTGTGTAAACGGTCCTTAAAAATGTTGCATCATGACACTTAATTTTTCCACTATTGTGTCATTATTATTATGTATGAATATTCAGTCATATTCAGTCTTGTCCATTTACTTTTTTCAGAATATTTTCATTTTAATCTGTTTAAATTACAACATTACAAATTCAGAGTTGGCCGCATTGCGGTAATTACAATTACAAAATTAATTAACTGCTATGTTTAAATTACTCTTTGTGCAAGGCAGAGAACAGTATTGTCTATATTATGATATATATTACTAAATTGCATGTTTAATATTTAAAATAATTAGTGTTGTGGTGTTTTATTAGTTTTGTGAGAATAACCCAGTCATAGTTTGTGTAGTCATTGATGATGTATATCTGCATATAAACTGCATATTACTGTGTAATGGAAAAAGACTCTTTTAGCTTTAAACAATCCATCCAGTCAGAGGAACGAATTAGTACAACATGACCACGATTTAACTAAAACAAGGGAATGAATTAACAAAACATGGCCATGAAGTTGTGGGAATTAACCCTTAATTCATGGCCACAATATCTATTTTTCTTCTGCATGTCATGTGCGGGGCTCCAAAGCTTTGAGACAAAAACATATGCCAATTTAAACTAAACTATTGGTACTGCATTATGCACAGTCAATAAACTGTGTTTACCAAGCCATAATTATTAGCAGGATATCCTATCTCATGATAATACTTATGTACACTTAAGATTTGTCATCTAACAGACGTAAAAACAAACTGAATAGACATACAATTATTTTGTCAGTACACTTTGTACTGATTGTCAGGTACGACACAAAAAAAGTTTTCAACGCCTTTTTCAACACAGCCACTATTTAGGGGGAACAATGCTTCAATACCATTATTTGTCAGCTTAAAGTCTATCTATCTATCTATCTATCCGTCCATCCAGACTATATGTAGTTTCCTGCTAGTTTTGTTGAATTTTTTTTGTGGAAACGTTGCTACATTAGTAAATTAGTGAAAAAGGAGTGATGTAGAAGAGTCTGATGAAAAGAATGGAGAAAGTATAAAATGCATCGTAAGGTTTGGAGATCAGATTGGGGTAAGCAAAATGAATCCGTTAAAACTGGCAAAGGTCATAAATAGAGATATAGGAAATATCGATTTCGCTAAAGCTCTCTCTGATGGGAATTTGCTACAAACCCGATTCCAAAAAAAGTTGGGACACTGTACAAATTGTGAATAAAAACAGAATGCAATGATGTGGAAGTTTCAAATTTCAATATTTTATTCAGAATACAACATAGATAGAGTTGGTGATAAAAGTAAAAGTAGGGGCCGAAAAGGGATCATTTTTGGTGTTCCTCTTAATATAGGTATGGACGAGTTTAAAGGTAACTTAAAGGGAGGGAAGATAGTAAATGTGCAAAGGATAAAATCAGGTGCATATGGAAACAGAAAAGACACGGAAACAGTAGTAATAGAATTTCAAGAGGATGAAATTCCAAAAAGAGTAATGATGGGAGTGATGAGCTACATTGTAAGAGAATATATACCGGGACCAGTGAGATGTTTTAATTGCCAAAGGTTTGGGCATGTTGCTGCAAGATGTAGGGAACAGTGTAGATGTGCTCGTTGTGGAGGAAACCATGAATATGGCAAGTGTGAGGAAGGTGTACAACCAAAGTGTTGCAACTGTGGAGAGGCACATAGTGCAGCACATAAAATAGGAATGGAGATTCAGAAAAGGAGGGTGGAGAAGAAGCTAACATATGCAGACGCAGCAAAACAGGTTAAAGGACAAACTAAAGAGCAAAGAGGTCAGTCAGGGGTTTTAGTTGAAAGAAACAATGAAGTTCCGGAAGAATTTATGATGATCGAAAAGAAAAAATTAGTGACATTTATTGCAGGAGTTATAAATAGTACAGCTGGGGTTGAATCAAAAACACAGAAGACTCAGTTAGTTGTTATAGCAGCAATACGTCATCTTGGAATGATAGGCTTGACCTGGGAAGAAGTCAGAGATGAACTTCAGATAAGATCAAGTCAAGAAACATGTGGATAATACATATAGATGATTTCAATAATTCAGTGGAATGCAAGATCTCTGATAGCAAACGGTCAGGAGTTCAAGCATTTTATTGAAGATTTAAGTATAAAACCGGATGTAATATGTGTTCAAGAAACTTGGATGAAACGTTGTTTAGATTTTGTTATACAAAGGTATAGTATAGTACAGCATGATAGAGAAGAAGGGATTGGTGGTGGGTGTGCAACAAGAAATTTCATATAGAATACTGGGAAAAGGAAGGGATCAAGAATATATTGCTGTGGGGATATGGGGTAGAGGGCAGGAGATAATTATCATAAATTATTATAACCCATGTAAAAAATTGGAATTAGAGAAGTTAAAGGAAGTACATGGTCAAGATAGACTTAGAGTAGTATGGTGTGGGGATTGAAATGCACATAATACACTATGGGGAGGAAGTTACATAAATGCCAATGGTCAAGTAGTTGAGGAATTTAGTTGACCAGAACATATATTGTTACATTGTAGGAAGTATAGGGAAGAGAGGATTAGATTAAACCAAAAGATAAGTCAGACAGGAAGGAAAAGGAACCTTGAGGGTGTTTAAGATGCACAGGATGCTGTTGTGGAATATCTGAAGGATACAGGGGTATATTATAGGATTTAGATAGTAGTGCTATAATATTTATTTATTAAAAAAAACATTTTTTTTTATAATGTAAAGTGCATTCAGTGAGATATAATCCATGCTGCATACTCCGATACAGTAGGTGGCGGTATGCACCTGATAAGTCATGGTTGCAATCCGCCATAAAACTAAGAAGAAGAAGAATGTCGCTGTTTCCACATCGGAAATATTTACGTGTCGCACCACAAAAGCGTGCACAGAAGGGATACAGCTACGTCCGGAAGTTATCAATAAATTACATTTTCTACCTATTAGATGGTGTTTTATTAACGCCTACACCTACCCCTTACAATAATGCAAATACAGTAATTGTTGTTGTTCAGTGTGACAAAAACGACGCTATATATTGATGTGCGCATGCCCAGTAGCCGCGTCTGTATCCTTTCTAGCGTTAACCGTGTAACGTACAACAACTGAACCGGAAGACAACTAGTAAGCCCTGTTTAGATTTTGTATTGCGCTTTTAGCGAAATCATGGTGGTTTGATTGAAATATAATTTTGGGGGACTTTGTAGATACACGCAGGTTGTAAAGTTAGTTTGAGCCTATCCGTCTGGTTTCAAAGTCCGACTGAGTTCACTGTCTTTACACAAGAAACACTGAATGGTGCATTAAAACGAAGTTAACGCATGTGGCTAATGAGTTGCAGTTCAGTTATCCATAGTTAGAAATGTTCATAATATTAAATATTCATAATTCATTTAGCTCAAATAGCACGTGTACGGAAGAATGATAATTTAGCATTTCGTCAGGCTATCTGAATCTGAATTGTGCTAAGCTATATTACTGTAACTTCTCCTCCTCTAGTCCAGCTGTTGTCGTCCGGGAATGCAGATGGAGTGCACACTAGTAAGTGTGAGCGGAGCTCGGGTGGAGCTGGCAGATGGTCGAGCTTTAATGTTAGGTCGAGGCCCTGAAACCAGAATTACTGACAAGAAGTGCTCAAGGCATCAGGGTGGGTTTTTAGAGCACATCACACCCATCGCAGTAATCCAAAAGTTGGACATGTCGCGTTTGTTTCTGTTCATAAAGAATAACGGAAGTGCGTCTTCTTCTTGACAGTCAAACTTGTGGCCAACTATGCCAAACAGGAAGTTCTTGTAACGCAGGTAAAAACGAAACAACAACAACAATGTATGTTACAGTTTACTGAGAGAGACCGTTTTATTAATAACAATGTTTTGAAATGATTTTCGAATGCATAAATATACAAAAGCATAAGTTAGTACAAGTCTTCCTGTGTTTCCACAGCTCGGGCCCAACCCTTCTTCCCTGGACGGTCAGTGTTTGGGACGTGGTGCCTCTGGATGTCTGGCAACCGGTTGCACACTGTACCTGGTTAATCAGTCCCACCCCTTCACTGTGGAGTTTGCTGGACATTCAAATGAAAAGGCTCCCTCTCCTCAGAAGAAAGGAAAAGCAGCAGATGAAAGCAGAGACAGACAGAAAATCTCAAATGTTGGGTCGGGCCCCAAAAGAAGCATCCAGGAGTATTTTTCTAAATCCCCGAAAAAGGTATTAAGATCCAGACTAGTGATACTGTTTGGGTAATATATATGTATATGTGTATAGCATACTGTTCAATTACTACTTTTATTCTGCAAGAATGCATTCAATAATCAACAGTGAATAAATGCTGCTTTTTGTACTTTATATTCATCAGTATCAAACATTAATATGCTGTTTAAGCCACATGATTTGTTTTTTTCTTTCCAAGAACTGTTTTCATACAGTCACCCTTCCAGATTGAACTTGTAAACGCATTTCTTCGACATCACAATTTCATTAGGCTCTATTTTCATTAGTTAAGTAGAGCTTGGTGATAATAGATCAACTTTATATAACAAAGTTTTACAATAGAAACATATAAATGTTGCAACATGACAGCTCTGTACCACAAAGGAATGACAGTAATGCATTTCCTCATTCTGAAGTTTTATAGGTGTCATTTTATGGGTGTATCACTGGAGTTATTTATTTATTTATGTTTTGGAAGTGTTTATAATAAAATAATTCTATTAATGCTTTAGGGACACAGCAGTTTTTACATGTGTTTTGAAGAAATTAGCACAGCTGTGGTTTATGTAAAAGGCAAGAATCATTGGATAGAAACAGTATTGAAGAATTAATAGCTTGTATTAAAAGTCTGTAGGAGTTTCTAAATATATGAATTGTAAACGAATTAATAGTGAAAAATTGATGCTTATTTAATACAACTTATTTATCATTGTAGACATTATTATTATTATTTTGTTAATTGAAATAAAATATATTTTGATGAAAAAAAAACGTTTACGTTAGAAATATTGCTTAGGCAAGTAACTGGCATAATCTAAGTTTAAGTTGAAGTATTAAAGTTACTAAAACTGAAATATTAATTAAAGCTAAATAAAGATATGTAGTTTAAACGACCAAATAAAAATGACTAAATCTTAAATTAAATGAAACCTACAAAATATAAAAATTACATTCAAAATGTTCCTACTATAAAAGGAAAAAAAAACAGTTTTATAGTAAAAAAAAAAAAATGAAATAACACTGCTTGACTTTTAGGCGACAAAACGACCTCACAGCCCAGAGGATGACGCCCCTCGCACAAAACGAGGGCGAGGAGGCGATGATGATGACGATGATGACGAAGATGAGGAAACATCAGGTGAGGAAAAGCTTAAGCAGTTACAAGAACTCGCTCAGAAAAAGAGTGGTAACAAGCTGGACTCACCATCAGTCAAAGCCACTGCTCCGTCTGCCACTTGCTCTCAGAGTCACTGGCAACAAATCGGCAGCCTTCTGCTGTTCACCGCGGCAGGGCTTCCAGATAGCTCCAAAGTAAGACATGAACTTTCTCACTGCATATTTTTAGTGTTTATTCAGGAAAACCATTATGCTTCTATGACGTTTTATGTTTTAATGTCTGGTTTAGATCGCTGGGTTTGATGTTGATGGCTGCATTATCACTACAAAGTCTGGGAAAGTATTTCCCACAAGTCCAGATGACTGGAGGTGAGTCTGGTTGAAGAACTTGCTGTACAGTGCAGCTATTTGTTGTGTCTCATGTGATGTTTTACTTTTGTTTAGGATTCTTTTCCCAGAGATTCAGCCTAGACTAGCCAGTCTGTTGAAGACAGGATACAAGGTGCTGCTTTATTCACTATTACTTTGTTTTATGTTGATCTGAATTTGCAGCATCAATACATTTGTGTTTGCTAGTTTAAATATTTGTAGTTGTTTTTGCATTTGTAGCACAAGCATCTTCATCATATTTGTCTCTTTTTAGGTGGTGTTTTTCACTAATCAGATGGGTATTTCTCGAGGCAAACTCAGGCCGGAAGTATTCAAGTCAAAAGTTGAGGATATTCTACAGACACTGCAGTTGCCCATCCAGGTTAATGACACATTGACTATTTTACACACAGTACCGTCAGTGGTGTGTAGTGGTGTTTTAAAATGAGGAGGCATTTTTATATATACATATATATTTATATATAAATATTACATAAAAAGAGAACAAATATAATTCTATTTTGTATTTTATTAATATTAGTTTTTATTTAATTTAATATTTTTAATACTAATTATACATTTCATAGTGTTTTTGTGCATTTTTATATTTATTCCAAAATAATAACTAAAGGCAGTAACAATGTGAACAATATTCTGGAAACAGTTTACAATAAGGTTTCATTAGTTAACTACTTTAGATAACATGAACTAAGAATAAACAATAGCCTACTTCTACAGCATTTATTAATCGTAGTTAATAATAATTTCAACATTTACTACTGCATTATTAAAATCAAAAGTTGTGTTTGTTAAGATTAGTTTATGCACTGCCAACTAACAATGAACAACTGTATTTGTATTAACTAATGTAAACAAAGATTAAATAAATAATGTAATAAATGTTCATTGTTTGTTCATGTTAGTTAACTCATTAAATTACACCTTGTAAAATTTTACCAATATTTTTTATTTGTGAACTTATGTTCAGCTGTTCTTTTTAATCAACATATCAACTTATTCATCAACGTCAACTTATTTCGGGTCATCGTCATAAAAGCTCTGTAAACACCGCCACAGACACGAAGATATATCTTTCATTTCATCACGCTGAATGCTCACTAAAAACTGACACAGTCATCACGTTTTCAGACCATTTCAAGTTTTATTTTGACGTGACACAAAGTAGTGGTATCTAAGTGGGAGAGTTGTTTACTTACTTTATAATTAGTCAATAACGCCATCATTTTCTTCATTCAGGCCGAGAGCTCGCACGAAAATAAGAGGCGGGATTTATCGCAGGAACCAATCATAACCGATAATATCCAATTATAGCGCGATGGAGACGTTGCCTCCTCTCATGTGACTTTTCCCCCATTCATCTCAATGAGCCTCCAGAAAAGTCACGGCACGCTTTGGGGTCTCTGTAGAAAGTCAATGGACTGAAGGGAGGCAAGCCTCCGCTGTAACTTTACCTGCGAGTGTCGCTGTTGGACAGTGTTACTTTATAAAAACAAGTGACTTTTAGACTTTTAATGTCATATTTAATCATATTTGCGCTGTTTTATTTTTGTAATATCGATTATTTTCTCATCCAACTTTTTGAGGAGACACTGCCTCCCTTGCCCCTGAGTACCGTTAAAAGTTTGGGGTTGGTAAGAATTTTAAAAACGCTTTTGAAGGAAGTCTTTTATGCTCACCAAGGCTGCATTTATTATAATGTAAAATAACTGTTTTCTATTTGAATATATTTTAAATGTAATTTATTCCTGTGATGCAAAGCTGAATTTTCAGCATCATTACTCCAGTCTTCAGTGTCACATGATCCTTCAGAAATCATTCTAATAAACTGCTCAAATAAATTATTAATCAGTGTTGAAGACTCCTTAAAATATTTGTGGAAACTGTTTTTTTTTTCAGCATTCTTTGGTGAATAGAAAATTTAAAAGGAACAGCATTTATTTGAAATAGATTTTTTTGTAACATCTTTTGATTAATTTAATGCATTCTTGCTGAACAAAAGTATGATTTAAAAAGAAAAAACATTTTACTGACCTAATTCTTTTAAACGGCAGTGTAATTGTGTGTAGATATAATTTCTCAAACGTATATATTTATGAATGTGAATGCATGTCTTTTTCAGGTATTTGCTTCCACAGCCCCTGGTATTTACAGGAAGCCTGTTATTGGGATGTGGGAACATCTGTGTGAGAAGGTGAATCACTATTGTGGTAGGATTTGTCTATTAAAGGGATTGCATTATTGAGTCGTATGATTTGTTTTACATTATGTACAACAAGCAGCAGGTTGGATTTGAGTAGCCTGTGTATATTAAGACATTGGAGTGTTTTTTGCAGGCAAATGGTGGCGTGACTGTAGATGTGTCACAGAGTTTCTATGTAGGAGGTGAGCTCAAGTCAAGTTCTACTTAAACATTCAAGACTCAATGTTTGTGATTAGCACTCTTGAGACATTTGAGATTTCAAATACATTTCTTGATACTAAAAAGTATTATTTTGATCTTTTGAGTAGCTCTGCATCTTCAAGCAAAATATAAAGGAATGTAATAATTATTTATAAATAATAATATATTAATAAAACAGTAGAATTTTCATGATGTGTTAACAAAGTTAAACTTAAAGCATATTTCTATATTACTTGAAATTAAAAGAAGACTTGGTTAAACACTTTTGATAACAATTGTATTATTTATTTACAGCACATGCTGGTAAATTACCCAATAGCATACCAGATTTCTATGCTCAGTCATGTTTTTCCTTGCATGTACAGATGCAGCAGGACGTCCCGCTAACTGGGCACCAGGAAAAAAGAAGAAAGATTTCTCTTGCAGTGATAGACTGGTAATGAAATTAATTGCAGTCTTTATTACACATACAAAAAAAAAGCATATACAGAATGACTTGCTGTGAGTAAGAGTTACTTGTTTTATATTCCTTTGTATTTGTGGGTATTGAGTGCAATATCTTTACTCTGTTTTGTCCACAAGGGGGCGCGGTACTGCTTTCTTGTTCCATTTTCGTATAACAGTTTTACAGGCTTCTAAAAAATACAGCTATACATTTTTCTTCTCCCTCTCTCCAGTTTGCCCTCAACATTGGTCTTCAGTTTCACACACCAGAGGAATACTTCTTGGGCTGGAAACCCGCTCAGTTCAGCTTGCCGGAATTTGACCCTGTAAACAATTGGTCATTTTTGATTCCCCCCCATGTATACATGTTATACCTTTACACTATGAAGACTCTTGTTAAAAAGGTTTTATAAATTGAGGAAACAATTACTTGTCAGTTTTGTGTCATATTGATTAAATACAATTAACAATGTTGTGTTATTTTCCAGTGTTTGGGTATCATTCAAGTTCTTCCATTTTCTTGTCTGTAAAATAAGACTTTGTTGGTGAAATTCATAGTCTCATATTCTGAAGTTTGTGTTTGTGTGCTTTATTTCTGGAGTCCCATGAAACATTTTAGGAAAGTTAATGAAATCTTGAGCAAGTTGTCATACCTGTGCAGTTCCTGGAACTTTTAAAGTCACTGTTTTTGTTGATTCATCATGACGCATCTGCATTTGATTGTAGATTGAGCCACTTGGTGACGTTATGTAAATATTAGGTAGGCTTGTTTCATAGGTTATTGTAAAGCTGGTTTTGGTACCAACAGTCTGATCTACTGATACTGTCCCATTGAACCAATCAGAGGTTTTTGCTCCCACACTGTCTATCTAAGAGTGTGATAAAAATGAAACATTACAATATTCATAACAGTCTTAAAGTAATTTACCATAGGCAATGAACGAACACTTACAAACCTGAACTGGTTCTTTTGTTTGATCTCCTGTTGGTACTGTTAGTGAGGAAAATCCATTCAGTAGCTGATTAGACAGAATGTCATCACTGGCTGTGATAAATTTCCCCCCTAATTCCAACATAGAACATATGAGAAATTTACATTGGATAATAAACAGGCATTGAATACTCAGATAGCCTACATTTTGTGCAAAGGTATTTGAACACTGTAGACTTATGAAATGTATACATTTTATACTGAAATATCAATGATATCAACCAAAATATAAAAAACCAATTAGTTAAAAGTTACTAATACCTTATGGCTCAAGTTAGTTCTGAGACTTTTTAATGCTAAGATCCATCTAGAAGTATAATAGGCCTAACAAAAATGCATTTAGGTTACAACTTGCAGTTCAGTTGAGCGAATCATGTTGATTCATTAGCTGCTATGTCGGATTTGGTAAGTTAATTTAGTGAAGGATTCATCAAGCTTATTCAAACCATGTTCATAAGAGTCGTTTGTTGGTGACTCAAACTTCGCGGGTTGCAATATTTTATTTTTGTGTACTGTGAAGTATGTGAGGATTTGCGAAAACGCTTGTGCGTCATGTCATAAATATGTAAATGCATGTCCGCCGTCAAATGTGTTAACTGAATTTTATAACTTTCAAATTTAAATATGAAATATTGAAATGATGTTTTATTAACTAAGTTTGGGCGGAGCACGTTCAGATAATCAACTTAATTAGCATGATAGTAAATATACAGCCAACTTGCTCCTCCTCCATTCCAACTTCGCACTCCTAACTATTCTTATCCCAGTTTGGGGATATGAGGAGTTTGCTTACTATTCTCTCAATCGGATTATATGTAAGTGCAAACTCGTGAAATATTTAAAAATGGCTCATGCCATGAACACCACCTTTCTTAGACTTTGTGCATCCCACAGTTTAAAAACCACCAGTCTAAAGTAATGTAATTCATAAATTTTAATTGCGACCTAAATGTCCACATAGGCCTACAGTACGTTTTGGGACACTATTAGTCAGTATGTAACTGTTACTTACCAGTTCTGTACGCCATTTCCCTCAGGGCTTTATCTGCTTTATTACCCAAAGCAATTGTGTGTATAATGGCGCCACTATTAATTGCATTCGGAACACAACTATTAAGGTCATCTGAGGCTTCACCGTCTGTCAGAAAAATTATTTCATCTCCTATCACATCCCCATTGTCCTTATTAAGTACCTTTAAATTTTGCAGACATACAGAACATTGGCATATAACAAACAGCATATACTTCACACATTATATAAACACACAAAAATAAAACAAATGATATAGCACCTGTAAGCCTAGATTGAGGCCTTTACACATGTATGTTGATCCACTTGCTATTTTTGGCAACAAAGTGACGAGACGTTCTCTTGTGGTGTCACTGTCAATACGAGTTAAGGAGCTCAGAGTAGAAGCATCACTGCTAAAGGTTACCATTGCAACACTGGCTTGATCCTCAATGATATTCTGCAGGAAATGTGTGGCAGCCTGTTGCAGTCGAAGAATTCGAGAGCCCTAGCAAATGGGTGCAATAATAATAATAATACTAAACATGCATGTGATATCAATTTTATGCTTCCTTGGGTTTCATAATGATTAAGCTCATATCAGAGCACTGAAGGTTATATTATTAAGCATTTTTATTTTAAAGTTTAGTTGATGCTTTTGCATACTTGCATGCTTCCTGAGACATCAAGTACGAGACAAACAACCCGATGCATTCGCTGCACAACTTTGAAAACTGGTGCCGGTGGAGAAGACTGCAGTGGTTTTAGAGAACGAAGTGCGTCTTTATCCACAGAATCCTCAAATATCACAGTCCATGTTGCTTTGCCACATTTTTTATTTTGCAAGTTTGGGGCTTCATAATTGTGCTCATTTTCACGACAAAATGTGCTGACCTGAAACCAGATATTTTGAATGATAAGTTCGTCTATATACCGCATGCAACAGACATAAAATTTTGCATTTGTAGAACATGTAAAATCTATACTTACAGAATCCAGGCTAGGTAGGTACATTATGGAACTGTGTGTGTTTTGATATTTGTTCGGAAAAAACGTGCAACCCTTAGACGGTAGTGAGGTTCGTGGATCAGTTTGACATGGAGATCCAGCAGTAACATCAGAAAGCTGACCGTCAATATTTTTGCTACACCTAAAGATAAGCAGGAAATCAGTAGTTGAAAGAATTTCCAATGAGATTTTAATCAAAAGCTTTCTTTTTGTTGAAGGTTTATAACCCTGTAGCTTCAATATTGCCATTAGAGTAGTAGAATGGCATTTCTTCACTGTATTCATCATAAACGCCCCATCTCAGATGAGCCCATTCATGCACCAAGACTCTTCCTGCAAACAAACAAACATTCTTGCTAATAAAACAGATTACTGAATTAACCTGAATAAATGTTGAAGGACAACAAAAGATGTTCACCTTTTGGCCCGTATGGCTTAATGAGTGTAGTGTCTCGGAGGAAGTTTGGGGTGAAATGAATGTACTGACCCTCAGCGCCACATTCTCCGTACTGATTAGTGTAGGGTTCATCGCCGTATGCTGGATTAGCATTATCAATTATTATTTTGGCCTGTGTTTGACATAGAACTTGTGTCAGCAATATCAAATATAAATATCAGGTAAATATTTGATGGGTAATATAAAATGGCATAATTCTCTGTACCTTTCCATAGGACTCTGTTCTTGCTTTGGTAAAATACGTACTATTCCACTGAGGTGGGACTAGTATTGTAGCTTCTTTGAAATAGACCTTTTTATCCAATGCTTCATAAAGATAAAGAGACCCTTCAGTGACCATATCCTGTCAGAATTAAATTGAAAAGATACAATGAGAAGAACTCAAAATGTGTATGCATTTATAAAAAAGTATATACTTTAATTTGCTCATTCACAAATATTGTTTTTGAAATTACAAATATGATATTTTAAATGTTTTTAACTGGGACAAACTATTATCTTTCACAAAAGCCATTAAACCATGAATGCACACAAAGTTTGTTAGATAGACAAAAAAAGTACATATTCACCTTGATTTGACCAATGAGTGTGTCATCCTGTGGTACTCTTGAACTGATTGCAATGACAACGTCAACATAACCATTTCCATCTAGTTTGATTCCAGTGGAGGTGGACGACAGCAACATCCATAATAAGACAAACAACGATCTTGAGTCCATAGCTGCAGGGTTTAGATGAACAATGTCACAAGTGATCATAAAGGGTCTGATCAGAGATAAGTGGGTGGGTGCTTTAATGTCATGCAGGGGCGTGACTAGATTCTCCCAACATCAGAGGCTGAGCCAATAGTCCTTTTAAAATATAAGGTGCATATACACTAATCAGCCATAACATTAAAAGCCCCTGCCTAAAATTATGTAGATCCCCCTCATGTTGCCAAAACAGCATGCGTCGAGGCACGGACTGCATAAGACCTCTGAAAGTCCTGTGGTTTCTGGCACAAAATCATTAATAGCAGATCCTTTTAATCCTACAAGTTGTGAGGTGAGGCCTAAATGGATCGGATTTGTTGGGTCCAGCACATCCCATAGATGCTCAATTGGATTGAGATCTGGGGAATTTGGAGGCCAGGGCAACACCTTGCTCAAACCATTCCGGAACAAATTTTGTGCAGTGTGAAAGGCTACTTTATCCTGCTGAAAGGATGGCCACTGCCATCAGACGATCTTGAGTCCATAGCTGCAGGGTTTAGATGAACAATGTCACAAGTGATCGTAAAGGGTCTGATCAGAGATAAGTGGGTGGGTGCTTTAATGTCATGCAGGGGCGTGACTAGATTCTCCCAACATCAGAGGCTGAGCCAATAGTCCTTTTAAAATATAAGGTGCATATACACTAATCAGCCATAACATTAAAAGCCCCTGCCTAAAATTATGTAGATCCCCCTCATGTTGCCAAAACAGCATGCGTCGAGGCACGGACTGCATAAGACCTCTGAAAGTCCTGTGGTTTCTGGCACAAAATCATTAATAGCAGATCCTTTTAATCCTACAAGTTGTGAGGTGAGGCCTAAATGGATCGGATTTGTTGGGTCCAGCACATCCCATAGATGCTCAATTGGATTGAGATCTGGGGAATTTGGAGGCCAGGGCAACACCTTGCTCAAACCATTCCGGAACAAATTTTGTGCAGTGTGAAAGGCTACTTTATCCTGCTGAAAGGATGGCCACTGCCATCAGAAACCCACTGGCATGAAGGGGTGTACATGGTCTGCAACAATCTTTAGGTAGGTGCTGCGTGTCAAAGTAACATCCACGTGATTGGACCCAACATTTCCCAGCATCCTTCTTTGCAGAGTGCATCTGATGCCAGCTCTTAGGTCTCTAGGTCAATGATGAACACGCACCTGACCATCCACCTGATCTAAAAGAAAACATGATTCATCAGGCCAGGCAACGTTCTTCCAATGCTCCATGGTCCAGTTCTGATGCTCATGTGCCGATCACAGTTGCTTTTGGAGGTGGGCAGGAGTCATCATGGGCACTTTGACAGATCTGCAGCTACGCAGCCCCATATGCAGCAAACTGCAATGCACTCTGTATTCTGACACTTTGCTATCATGGCCAGCATTAAGTTTTTCAGCAATTTCAACTCCGGAAGCTATTCTGTGTGATTCAGACCAGACAGGCTCATGATCTCTCCCCACATGGATTATTGAGTCTTTGGCACTCATGACCCTGACGCCGGTTCACCGGTTGTCCTTCTTCGCACCACTTTTGGTACTAACCACTGCATACAGGGAATTACACTCCACAAGACTTACCGTTTTGGAGATGCTCTGACCCAGTAGTCTGGCCATTGCTATTTGGCCCTTGTCAAAGTCACTCAGACCTTTCCCTAGCCCATTTTTCCTGCTTTGAACACATGAAATTCAGAAGATGACTGTTCACTTGCTGCCTACTATACACCCCCCCCCACCCCCGTGACAGGTGGTATTGTTAGGATATGATCAATGTCATTCATTATTGTATATTTGATGTTATACCTGTCAGCAGTTTCAGTGTTGTGGCTCATCAGTGTGCTGTAACCGGACTCTTTTCGTAGTAAAACTATGCATTCAACTTATTTAAAGCCCGGTTAAATTTGAACACAAGGCTGGTACATTTGAAAAAATTCAATTCAAGTTTATTTGTATAGCGCTTTTTTACGATACAAATCGTTCCAAAGCAACTTCACAAAAAGATTAAGTTTCTACAATATTTAGTGGTAGCTTATCAGTGGTGACTGTCAGTTCATGTACATATGGCAAAAATGTACGGAAAAATCAATTAAAGACGTAAGCAAACAGACTATGAACACTATTAACAGCAATTATTATATGATGCAATCAAACTTATAGCAAAGTTTGGTAGTTCTGTATGTTGTTTCAGGGTTGGCATGAAATGTAGGCTAACTCTTAATTAGTTTACTTATTGAAACTACAGTACACTGTTTAGAGCAGGCCTGTATATGTCCTGTTGCAGCATATTGATACAGTATGTGCTCAAAGAGTGAATGGAAAACAGGAAATTAACCCTTCAAGGTGTTTATTGTCTCGCCACCATCACAGGTTAAATGTGTGTGTACTACAGAAGTTATAACATAGCTCTTGAAAACAACTATACAATTTAATGTTAACCTCTATCATTTATTCTTGGAGCTGTCCTTATCATTATTGCCATGACAAGGTTCAAAGTAAGAAAATAAAGTGACAGTCACCCTGTATAACCTACATCCACGCGAGTACCGAAAGAAGTGAGTAATTGATAAAATACACAAAAATATGCTCCTTAATACAAGCTCAACATGTAATATTTGCATAGCATTACAGCCATTGCACATTGAATCCAATTGCCACTACATTTTCAAAAAGAAACAAAAGGTCCTAGTGAAAAGAAACAAACAAAAAACATCAGGGACTATTCATCAACTATTCATATAAGTCACTCCCCTGCTGTTATGGACTGATGATGCAAGTCTAGTGATTTTAAAGGAATAGTTCACCCAAAGCAGGCCATCAAAATGTAGATGAGTTTGCTTCTTCATCGGAACAGATTTGAAAAAATGTAGCATTACATCACTTGCTGATCAATGGATCCTCTGCAGTGAATGAGTGCCATCAGAATAAGAATCCAAACAGCTGATAAAAACATTACAATAATTCACGCATAACCCACACGACTCCAGTCTATCAATTAACATCTTGTGAAGTGAAATCTTCATTTTTGGGTGAACTATTCCTTTAAGGATTTCCATTGGTCTTCTTTTCAGGAAGCAAAGCAGTATTTTATAATCTCAACAAACACTGCTTCATGGTGATGCAGTTATTTTGCCATTCACTAATAAATTAAAACACATGTAAACAATGGTCTGGATCTATGTCTTCAATCTAATGTACAACAGATTGTTGGAGCTGCTCATCTGTGACTGATGAATGTAAAACATCACAGTGGCTCCCCCTTATGTTTATATAACTGCAACAACAAACTCCATCAATACAAACAAGCTTGTTATAGAACAGTTTTATTTATTATTATTTCAATATAGTTTTTTTAAACATTCACATATTACAAACGATTAGGGATTTATCTGTGTCGTACAGAATTAAATATGGAAATCCAAAGAACAAACGAACCAAACAGGGTTTCTAATCACCACAATGCAAATTTAATACATGCCTATTGTGGTACAGACATGTTTTATTGACTTGTATTTAAAAGTGCTCACATTTCAGAGGAAGCTAAATCAGTTGATTGAGAATCTATCATAAATGAAAATGCTATGAGGCGGCAGGATTAGACATGTACTTGAAAAAAAGAAAAGAAAAGGCATAAACCAAGAAATTCTGTTTGAATGAAATAATTGTTTTAAGAAATGTTTTAAAGCTATTGCATGTATATGTTCAAAGTAGGCATAAGGCTTGATTTGACATTTGTTTGCATCAGATTGTTGATGTTATTTGTTGCTTTAGACAGAGAGATTCCTGCGTCTCACTGCCCATGTGGTTACAGCGACAATAAAGCATATGACCATAGTTACCACACACACAGAAATGACAATAACTGTCAAATTCATGCCTGGGTTTGATACTCCTGGGGCTTTTGGACCAGGGAGGATCTTTGACGCTTGAGCAATGTTGGAGGCTTCAGATGTTGCATTTTGTTCATCCTCTGACTGAACCGCAAAGAAGAGTGTGGACCCATTTTGGATAGGGAAACTGAGATTGAATGAATGTTGTTCATCTGATCCGGCCTCCTGAGGTGAGACGGCAGCTGTGTTGCAATCATAATAAAAAAAGAATAGCTGCATTGTGATTTTGTGTCTCGTGCACTTTATACCTGTGAACAGCAGCATACAAACCACAATTTGAACTGGTTAAACTCAATAATTCCAGAGTCTCAACTGAACAGAATACACTGTGAAGTCCACGTCTCAGGATGCTTAATGTAAAATGCAACTTATCATCATTCACTCAATCATTCACTTACTCACTCACTCACTCACTCACTCACTCACTCACTCACTAGATCAGTTCAAAAACTGATCAATTCATGAACAAAACAAGTGGCTTTATGTGTAATTCGGCTTTGACTTCGTTCTGAACTATTGTTGCTGACAAAAATATAATGTGACTGGCGTGTTTCTAAAACTTAACTTACTCAATATAATCTTTTTTGAATGATCTGCTGAATAAAAGCAATATTACACTCACAGATGTAGTGCTGGTTTGAACATCAGTTCATTTTTTCCCTTTTTAGATGTGATTAAGTTTAAATGTATTTTAAAACAGACCAATATTGATCTCAGGGTTTACCGTTTACCACATATCCGGGTATGTATGGGGCGCCACTATTTTTTTGGACAGCAAATCTGGTTTGTCCACCTTGATTCTTCACTCTTACTTTCAAGCTGCTTCTCCCATTTACAATCTTTGTGAAATATCTGGAATAGATTCCGTCATCTTGAAAAGCATCAGCTCCTGTAAAAGATGGATTTCTGATTTGTTTGGCACAGTTTGGAAAAGTACCTTACTCTTTCTTTCTTTATATTTTAAGCTGAGTGCACACTTATGGGTCATTTACCTGCTCCATTGTCCAGCAGTTGTAAGGTATGTACAGACCCAGTTTCCGACTCCAGTGTAGCCCACGCTTCAGCATTTATTACAGGCCTGTAATTCTGACTAACCTCAGCAAACACTATCATGGGTTTAGAGCCATCATTGAACTGCTGGTTCATGTGGGTTTTGACAATAATAGGAGGAACATCATCACGTGACGCTTGACTCGTTATGGTTATAGTGAAAGCCTGATTTGAGGTAGTTTGGATACTGTACTCCCAGTCCCCAGGCTACTAAAGCAAAGAAGTAAAAGCAGATCAATAAGGGTTTGCTGTGAGTGTATTATTTAAGTGTAATTAGTTTAGCTAAACTGTTAGTTATTATTAGTGAACTCCTTCTTTGTTAAACATATATGAATAACAAACAAGTTATTGTTAAACATATTTGAATAACATTTATCTAAAACTCTTGGCCAAGATGCCTTTTATTGTGTAACGATACTTTCACAAGTTTATGGTCTGAACTACAGTATAAACTTAAAATGATTCAGTGGTTCATAAAGGTCAGCATACCTCTGCAGTTCCTGGAATGTTTAAAGTGACTGTTTTCAGAGAACCATCATGACTCAGATTTGTCTGAGTGTAGATTGAGCCACTTGGTGACTGTATGTAAACACTAGGAAAACCTTTTTCATAAATTATTACAAAGCTGGTTTTGTTCCCAACAGTCTGATCCACTGATACTGTTCCATTAAACCAATCAGATGTTCTTACTCCAGCACTCTCTAGCTAAAGGAATAAGAAAAATTAAATGATGAAATACTCATAATATTGATGACACTCTCAAAGTAATAAATGTATCATGTGCAATAAGTGAAACCTTGACAAACCTGAACTGGTTCGTTTGTGTAATCACCAGTTGATAATGTAAGCGAAGCAAACGCATCCATTAACTGGTTGGAGATCATGTCATCTTTGGCTATGAGAAATATCCCCCCTATTTTCAACATGGAACAGTTTTTCATTGGAAAACAAACTAGCATTTTTTATTTATGACATACACTGAGACAGATACAGTAAGTTATTAATTGACCCTTTGCAAAGACCCGCCCCCCCCTTAGTTACTGTTGCTATGCCCAACAAGCCATGGCGCACTCATGCCACACATCATGTTCTAAAACAGTGAAAAATATATTGCGGAGCAAAGAGGACACTGATGACGTGCCGACAGACAGAGCTGGTTACTTGAAACGTAACCAAAGTCTCAGCTTTCAAATGTTGTAATTTCTTAAGAAATTCAAACTATAATTACCATTTTTTTGGCTCTTTAATGTGTTGTGACAAATCGCTGTAGCACCTCAGTTTAACCGGAACCAATCATCTCTTCCTCTTTACTTACAGCACCAAATAAACATGAATCAACATCAGAAGGTATGTTGTTCCAACCACAGAAAACCGACAATTCACACTATTTTTCATGGTTAAGTCCACTGACATTACTAATTCTCCTGTCTACATTATGATTGGTCGGATCGCCTGTCAATCAAACTCTCTGCGAAGGGTGAATTGTGCTGATATCACTTACCAGTTTTGTTCGCCATTTCTGTCAGTGCCTGAGCTGCACTTTTACTAAAAGCTATTGTGCTTATAATGGCACCACTTTGTATTGCAGATGGAGCACAACCAGCAATGTTGTCCGTTGCCTGACCATCTGTCAGAAAAATGATTTCATCTCCTAATACATCCCCATTGTCCTCTTGAAGCACCTGATGGATTTGAGGAAAAAAGTATAACTCTATATATTTCATACATCACAAACATACAAGACACATACTAGTACAATTAAAATGGCACCTGTAAGCCTTGACTAAGGCCCAAACACATGTTTGTTGATCCAGCTGCTACTTTTGGTAACAATTGGATAAGAGTCTCTCGAGCGTTGTTACTGTCAATAATAGTCAAGGATCGCAGAGTAGAAGCATCAGTACTAAAGGTTACAATTCCAACCCTGGCTTGATCCTCAATGATGTACCGCAGGAAATGTGTGGCAGCCTGTCGCTGTTGAAGAATTCTAGCGCCCTAGAAAATAGGTGAATAAAAAAACAAATTTGTTTCCTCTTGCTATTTTTCATTTCAAAGCATTGGTAACACAAAAAGGTTGTCATAGTAGCATCTTTGTTTTCAGATTAAGTTAATGTCTGTTATTACATACTGCCATGCTTCCTGAGACATCAAGGATGAGACAAACGACCCGTTGTGCCCTCTGCACAACTTTGAAAGATGGTATTGGTGGAGGGGACTGCAGTGGTTTCAGAGAACGAAGTGCATCTTTATCCACAGAATCCTCAAATATTACGGTCCATGTCGCTTTGCCACATTTTTTATTTTGCAGGTTTGGGGCTTCATAATTGTGCTCGTTTTTACGACAAAATTTGCTCACCTGAAACCAAAATTCCCTGCATAATTGCAGATATTTCACCAAACACTCAAGGACGGATTATGGCTCTATGAGACCCAAGCAGGGAGTTAATAAAGAAAAAAAACCCTAACAGATTAACAAATGTGACTTCTCAAGCAGCTGTTTGAAATTACATTGCATAGAAGAAAACAGTCCATGGCCCCTTTGGCCCAGGCAATATAGTAATTTACCAGTTATTAAAATAATTTTGTGGAATGTGTGGAAACATATAAACTCAGTACTTACAGAATCCAGGCTTGGTAGGAACATTAAGGAGCTGTTTGTTTTTTTATTTATGTTTGGAAAAAACTTGCACTTGTCGGTTGGTAGTGAAGTTTGTGGATCTTTACGGCATGCTTGAAGAGATCTTTCAGCAGTAACCTCATAAAACTGACCTTCAATATTTTTGCTACACCTAAAGATAAGCAAGACATCAATAGTAATTCTAATTTCTAAAGACATTTCAGTAAGATTCTTTATCTTTTATTAACAGTTTATAACCTTGTAGCTTCAATACGGCCATTAGAGTAGTAGAATGGCTTTTCTTTATTGTATTCATCATACACGCCCCATCTCAGATGAGCCCATTCATGCACAAAGACCCTTCCTGCAAACAAACAAGCAAACAGCTAATAAAATAAACAGACTACTGTATTAATAGAACTTTAAACCTCTTATCATTTCATAATAAATGTATAAATGTTGAAGGAAGATAAACGACATTTACCCCTTAATCCGTAAAGCTGGATGACTGTGTCATTTAGGAGGTATTCTGGGGTGAAATGAATGTATTCTGCCATAGTTCCACATTCTCCATACTGTTTAGTGTAGGGCTGATCACCGTATGTTGAATTAGCATTATCAATTCTTATTTTTGCCTGAATTTCACAGAGAAAAAATGTCAACAACATCATATATGAATGAAGTGACTAGAAATAAATATTTTACTAAATTAAATCCAATAATGCTCAGTACTTTATCAAATGACTCTGTTCTTGCTTTGGTAACATTCTTACAACTCCAGTGGGATGGGACTAGTATTGTAGCTTCTTTGAAATAGACCTTTTTATCCAATGCTTCATAAAGATAAACCGACCCTTCAGTGACCATGTCCTGTCAGAAGGAAAATTAAACGATAAGTAATTATTAGACAAGTAATTATGCTTTACTTTAAATACCGGCAACAAAAATACTGTATATTTCTGTCAGTTATTTTTTTTTTCAATTTAGATTTGAACAGCAAAATCTTCTAAAGCCATTCAAACCATTAATGCACATATAGTTCGTTAAATAGAAAAAAAAGCATGTTCACCTTGATTTTATCAATAAGTCTGTCATCCTGTGGAACTTTTGAACCGATTGCGATTATAACGTCAACATATCCATTTCCATCTAGTTTGATTCCAGTGGAGGTGGACGACAGCAACATCCATAATAAGACAAACACCGATCTCGAGTCCATAGCTGCAGGGTTTAGATGAACAGCAACTCCCAAACCCCGTTTTGAACAATCTCAAGTCAAAAATTAACTTCAAATGCCTGATCACAGATGGAATGTCCTTTACTGGAATGGACTGAATGATACCAATATAACTGGTTCATGTTGGTAAACACATTATTACAGTGTCATGGGGCAGCATGTTGGAGACAGCTATCAACAGCTGTTTATTTCACTTCACATGACTGTCATTGCACAGGAAAGCACCTACAGTGCTGTTCCCATCACAGTCCATAAAATAAGGCTCTCATAAATCATTCCAGTGCATTTCCCAATTTTGTTCAACTATAGCTGTGTCTGAAATTGCATACTGTCTAGTATGTACTATATTTAGTTTGAAATTTACTTTGCAACTGTTGAAAATTATGTTCTATATAGTAAGAATGTGTGTTGCAGCAATGGAATTTGGATGTACTACATCCACCATGTTGTGACTGTCATGTGACTTACCGGGCGTCAGTTGTGTCACTTCACTGCCATTCACAAATCCTCTCCTGTGGCCTCATGGGATAGTAAAATGTCTATCAAATATGCACTTCAGAATCTAAGTGCAAGTAGTAGGTCATCCTGGTACTTTTCACCCACTGTTTTTCGAATACTATGAATTCGGACATGCAACTCTTTTTTACATAAATTTTTCACGTACTTTATAGTATGGAAGTAGGCATATTCCAGCACAGTCTTCTTAGGTAATCATTGTGTAGTGTATAGTATACAATATTTATTTTATTCCTGTATTGAATTTATTTATTTTTATGAAGTGTTCTCTGATTCTGTACTGCACAATTAAATCTGCATATTGTACCTACATACTGTCTATAGTACAGTACAGTACTTTGAAAATAGGATGAGAAGTATGGTATTACAAACATGGCCAACCTAAAACTCACATATCTTATTAACTCCAATGCTGGACTAAATTTAATTTGTACAGTTGTAACAGCAGGTGTATAGTAATTCTCCAATGTTGCCATTTAATAATTATCCACTGACTGTCAATGGAGAATGAATGTTATGCAAATTTGACCTCTTTTTTTTTTGTCATGTTCTTTGAATTACTTTTAAAGATTAACTTATTCAGATTGTGAAGGCTTTATTTCAGGTGACCAGATTTCTGAACTGGAAACTGGGGACATTTTCTAGTTCAGTAAAATATCATTGAAATCTGAATTAGTGCCTATTAATAAAAAAACAAAAGAAAACATGGACAATGCATTTTTGTAATTATATCTTTGTTTTAAACTGTTGTGGGTTCCAAATACCATTATTATAATTAATAATTATGAGAGTCAAACGGACCCTAAATGGTTTTAATACAATTCACCACAAAACAAGCAAACAAACAAAAACATCTGTTACGGGGTTGACGAGACGTGAGACTTGCGGATCCATTCGCAGAGCTTTATTAGATAAAGACAGAGACGTGGTCATACAGCAGGCATGGGTCAGATGAGGGCAAACAGGTATATGGTGGGCAAAACACAAGAATAGTCCTGTATCATAACAAAACTATAACTTTACAAAACCATCTTACAAAAATAAATTAGACAATAAAACATTTGATAAACTATTGTATTTAATATTTTTATTTCTCTGTGAATATATTGTACACAATAATTACAACTTTTGAAATGTTATTTTATATCTGACCCATTTATATCAGAAATGGGTCGTTGGATGAATAGTCTACTGCGTTGTGAACTTTCGTGGATGTTTAACCTCTTAGAATTCCTGTAAAATTTGCCTAAAATGCCTACAAAAGGCATACCCAAAGTTAACTGCATGCTGTTCTTGAACCATTTGGAGTATATGCATGGTTTTAGTCTCTTCTGAAAGGTGACACTCGTAAACAGAACAAACCTCAGAATCACTGTAAGTCTTACTGCTAAATTTTAGTGGACTACTGTACGCCTGAATAGTATGGCAGACTGTTATGAACTGAATAATTAGGAAATTATATTCAGTCCACAGATTCCTACATGATAAACAAAACAGAAATCTGTTTTAATAATCTGTAAGTTTATGCATGCTACTAAGAAAATCTAATATTGTTTTAAGAAATGTTCTAAAGCTGCTGGATGTACATATGGATTGATTTGACATTCTTTTGCATCAGATTGTTAATTCCACTTTACCTTTCAGCAGAGATTTTTCTGCGTCTCACTGCCCATGTGGTTACAGCGACAATAAAGCATATGACCATAGTTACCACACACACAGAAATGACAATAACTGTCAAATTCATGCCTGGGTTTGATACTCCTGGGTCTTTTGGACCAGGGAGGATCTTTGACGCTTGAGCAATGTTGGAGGTTTCAGATTTTGCATTTTGTTCATCCTCTGACTGAACCGCAAAGAAGAGTGTGGTCCCATTTTGGATTGGGAAACTGAGATTGAATGAATGTTGTTCATCTGATCCGGCCTCCTGAGGTGAGACGGCAGCTGTGTTGACTACATGACCGTTGCTGAAGCTGTTTCGAAGCATATCAAGGTCAAAGCTCCACCTGATCTCATAGGATTTAGCTTAAAGGAAAAGAAACATGCAATGCAGGATAATAAAAGATTGAATAATGATTATTTTTTAATGATTGATTTTATGATCTTCAAAACAACTTATTTTGTTCATAAGGATGTTAAAGAAATGATTTTTTTTGTATTTTAAATAATGGTAAAGTAATTGTATGCTTTACCTGTGCCTTGGTCGAGGTCCTCGCCAGGTGCTGTCCAGCTAAGAAACACAGTGTCCTCCTGGATCTTAGCACTCAGATCTGTGATTCTGTTAGGAGGGAAGGTTGGTGGAGTTGTGCCTGAAAGTTTCACCTCAAAACTCTCTCCGGTGGCTGTTCTGGTGAAACTTCCAACCTCAAGTGGTTCCTCAGAAACTGGAGGCTTTGGAGGGTTCAGCTGCACTACACCTGAAATTAGAGGAACCACTTGAATCTGCTTGATTCTGCCTTAATGTCTTTCCTCCATACAGATTTATAGTCTACAGATGGTATAATCTACCATTAATAGAACAGGTAGCTCAGTTTGTGCAATAATTCAGTGACTCTTTCAGCAGGTTACATCTATATAAATATCTTTATGAGTAACTGAATCCATAATGCAAACAATTCTTTCAAAACACTGTTGTATATAATACATCCATGTGTATTTAAATTAATTTATTATTAAATTAAATAATATAAATTGTACTGGAAAGCAGTTTAACTGTGTGATCAAAATATCAAATAGTGATCAATGATATTTAATATGAAAATAAATGTAATTAAGTTATATTAGATTTGTTTGATGTCATTGATATTATTCCAAAATATTGATCTCAGGGTTTACCGTTTACCACATATCCGGGTACGTATGGGGCGCCACTATTTTTTTGGACAGCAAATCTGGTTTGTCCACCTTGATTCTTCACTCTTACTTTCAAGCTGCTTCTCCCATTTACAATCTTTGTGAAATATCTGGAATAGATTCCGTCATCTTGAAAAGCATCAGCTCCTGTAAAAGATGGATTTCTGATTTGTTTGGCACAGTTTGGAAAAGTACCTTACTCTTTCTTTCCTTATATTTTAAGCTGAGTGCACACTTATGGGTCATTTACCTGCTCCATTGTCCAGCAGTTGTAAGGTATGTACAGACCCAGTTTCCGACTCCAGTGTAGCCCACGCTTCAGCATTTATTACAGGCCTGTAATTCTGACTAACCTCAGCAAACACTATCATGGGTTTAGAGCCGTCATTGAACTGCTGGTTCATGTGGGTTTTGACAATAATAGGAGGAACATCATCACGTGACGCTTGACTCGTTACTGTTATAGTGAAAGCCTGATTTGAGGTAGTTTGGATACTGTACTCCCAGTCCCCAGGCTACCAAACACAAGAAAGTAAAAGCAGATCAATAAGGGTTTGCTGTGAGTGTATCAGCTGAGTCATGAGCGATATACTCCTCCTCAGTCTTAGTAGAATTTGTTTTTGAAGATATTTTGATAATGTATATCTAAAACTATTGGCCCAGATGACTTTGAGTTATGAATACATGTTTATGGTCTGAACTACAGTTTAAAATAACAATTAAATCGTGATAAAGGTTGTCTCACCTCTGCAGTTCCTGGAATGCTTAAAGTGACTGTTTTCAGAGAACCATCATGACTCATACTTGTCTGAGTGTAGATTGAGCCACTTGGTGATTGTATGTAAATGCTAGGAAAACTTATTTCATAGATTATTACAAAGCTGGTTTTGTTCCCAACAGTCTGATCCACTGATACTGTTCCATTAAACCAATCAGATGTTCTTTTTCCAACACTCTCTAGCTAAAGAAGTGATAAAAATGAATATCATTATAATACTCATATTATTGATGACACACTCAGAGTAATAAATGTATCATGGGCAATGAGGGAAACCTTGACAGACCTGAACTGGTTCTTTTGTGTAATCTCCCGTTGATAATGTAAGCGAAGCAAACGCGTCCATTAACTGGTTGGAGCTCAATTCATCACTGGCATATATAAATTTTCCTCCTAGTTTCATCATGAAACATTTTTCCATTGGATAATAAACTGGTGCTTATTTGATATACTCTGGGACAGATACAGGAAGTTATTAATGCTGATATCACTTACCAGTTTTGTCCGCCATTTCTTTCAGTGCACTAGATGCTTTATCACTAAAAGCTAGTGTGTGTATAATGGCACCACTTTGTATTGCAGATGGAGCACAACCAGCAATGTTGTCTGTTGCCAGACCATCTGTCAGAAAAATTATTTCATCTCCTAATACATCCCCATTGTCCTCTTGAAGCACCTGAAGAAAAAACAAATCACTGACATAGAACTCTATACACTTCATACATCACAAACATAAAAAAATGCATACTAGTACAATTAATATGGCACCTGTAAGCCTTGACTAAGGCCCAAGCACATGCTTGTTGATCCAGCTGCTTCTTTTGGCAACAGTTTG